ACGCAACCGTCTTGGAGGAGCTCTGCCGCTCAAGCGTTCTCAAGCTTCGTGTCAGGTTTGCCTAGCAGGGTTGGTGTAGGGTCTGGGTCGATTGGATTTGGGGGTGAGGTTGGTGGCTCAAGGTTTGGAGTGGACGGCCGGAGGAATCTGGTAGAGTTAGGCTTGGACGAGGATGGTACGATAAGGCGCGCGTCGCCAGCTATCATCCAGGACCAAAATAGAGTGAAGAACCAACCAGACAATGACCAGCCAGCAGGAGTAGGACCTAACCCTGAAGTATCCGAAACTAGAGCGTATCAACACCCGGCTCAAGCCCAAACGAATCTTCAAACTGCAACTGGACGTTGCCAAGCTGCCACGACAGTGTATCCTACGGTGGGTGTAGAGGGAGCTTCGAGTTCTCAGGGTTGGAACCTCGCAGGGTTATTGGGGCAGAGTTTGACGGGTTCAGTGTCTCGGGGTTTGGGGTCGGTAGGGTTGCCTTTCACATCTGGGGGTCAAGTGGAGTCCTCAGCGACTCAGCGCGGAACGACTGGAGGGGAAGGGCAGGGGTCGTCGGGTTTAGGATTGCTAGGCATAGGAAAAGAGGAAAGGAATACAGGCGCAAGGCTTACATTTCCAGAAATCAATCAGCCTCCAAGCCCAGCCTTTAGCTTATCAGATCCTAGTCTTCGAACGATCCCACCGAGAGCCCCTACTACCCAAGCTACCCCAAGTCTGTTGGAAGCTTTAGCGCAGGGTGTATGCCAACTCCAAGACCTCCAAAGAGCTGCGATGCAATCGAAGTCCCCAACAAGTAGCGAAGCTGAAACTGTAAAGTTTTCTAAATCTGAGTTGCCTTCACTGCCGGATGTGAGTGCAGATGATTCCTCGATAAAGTTTTCTGATTGGCTTCGTTTGGTTAGGAGTTTAGTAGAAGATGCCTCTTTGACCAGTGCCGCTTGGTGGCAACACATTCTTGCCGAAGCTAACGCAGCGTACGAGACATGGCAGGCATGTGATCCTCTTCGTCGCTTGAGCATTGAACCGCAAGCAAAGGAGTCTCAAAATCCTAAATGGGTACGCCTGAACGCGCGCATGTCTAGTATGGTGTATGCCGTGATGTCGTCAGCTTTGCGTGCCGATGCCACATCTCGTAGAGTAACATCTTCAACGCTGCACTTGGTATTTAGATTGTTGCTGCATTACCAACCGGGTGGTGCTTCTGAAAGGGCTACGATTTTAGCAAAGCTTCAAACACCAGGCGCTGCCAAAAATCCCGAGGAGGCCCTGTCAAGCCTTCGTCGGTGGTCGGATTGGTGGAATCGTCTCACGGAAACAGGGATGACGGAACCAGACCCTTCAGTGATAGTAAGAGCTTTGTTGTCGATTGTTGAAAGACCCCTACAAACAGCCCCTGAAGTACTCTTTCGGACACAAGTTGCTAGATCAGCGTTGTGCATAGACCAACGTCCAACACTTCAGCAGGCCTTGAGCTTCCATAGGCATCTGTTAGCCGAGTTTGAACAGCTTTGTCTGTCGGTAGGTGGGTCGCAGGAGAGTCCGAAGGTGAGGCTCGCTCAGGTGAACCACGAAGCCATCCCGAAAGCTAAGCCTAGCTGTAAGTATTACTTGTCCAGCACAGGATGTAAAAAGGGTTTGAGTTGCCAGTACAAACACAACATGCAAGACCTTCCGAAGGAGGTGAGGGCGCGCAAGTGTTTGCGTTGCGGGTCCGAGGCCCATCGAGCAAAGCAATGTCCACATCCTGGGAAGGGTGATAAGCACAATTCGGATAAGGACGCTACGGGTGCTAACAGAGGCGGTCCGGCATCACCAGCCTCAACATCTCCGGAAAGCTCACCGGCGAAAGGTGCTGCAGCTAGAAGGGCGCAGAAACAACAAGAGTTTCAGCAACAACAGGCCCAGGCATCAGCAGCAGCATCATCGGGACTGCCAGAGCAGACGAATCAAGATGTCACCTCAGTTGCCGCTAACGCTGGAGTTCAGGGATTGGGCCAACAGTCATCAACATCTGTTGGTAGTGCGCCAGCGCAGGTTGGAAGCCAAGCGAGCCCCGGGATCTATGTAATCCAAGCACCCGCTTCAGCTGCTGCGGCAGTTCCGCAGCAAGTTGCAGGAACGACGCCGGCGCAGGCACATGTGGCAGCAATGCAGGCGGCAATGCCGACTGCTGACCCAATTGCCATAACGCGTCTACTACAGCAAATAGGACTCAACCCAGTGGACGGGTCATCAGGTCCAAGATTGAATGCATTAGTGGTGTCTAACCGTGTGCCGCTCAGGGAAGAGACGCCAACAGGTGCTTTGAGGGAACTCGGTCCAAGTCCTAACCAGTGTAGCTCCTTAGAGGCCCCGTCTCAGAAGCCTGATGTGTTGGCAGATTCAGGTGCAACGAATGTGTTGCGTGGACCAAGGTCAAATGAGGAGTGGGACAGGGCAGAGCCAGTGCAGGTGAAGCTAGCTACAAATGCAGAAACAATCTTGCGACAAACTCCTGTAGGGTCGCTCTTGCACCCCGTTTCGAGTGAAGAACCAGAGCCTCCTCCTATCGTCCCGTTAGGAAGAATCATTGAGAGGCTAGGTTATGTGTTATCGTGGGATAAAGATGCTTGCATTTTGCGGGCCCCGAATGGGACCATACACAGGCTCAAGGTTCGCGAAGGTTGCCCATATCTCTCCCATACGGATGCTGGTCGTCTCATTTTGCGGTTGGAAGCTAAGGCTGCCGAGGAGGGTTTAAAGCAACTGCAAGAAGCCACCATGTGTACCGCAACTGCAGTGTCTCGTGCTCGGGAGTCGATGTCCCGTACGTGGTATGATGCGATGAAGGACTACAGTGTGTCTGGGAACGTTGAGGACGCAGGTAGAGCACAGTTTTTTGCTAGATGGTTGGACTACGCGCCCCCATGTGCGGTAATAGGAGCTTTCCCGCAGCAGAGCCAGGTGAATGCCTGGGAGATGTTGTCGAGGGTTCCAGGTTGGTCTCGCAGGTTTCGACGCCGCCTAAAGGCTTCCAAGAACTGGATTGTGCATCTATTTGCAGGGGATGGAACTTGGGATCCACTTCAGATCTCAACGCAAAAGGATGAGGTGGTTGTCACAGTGGATGTGCGGGCTGGAAAGGCTCAAAACATCATGAAGGGGCCAATCTGGGACGTGTTGGTTTGGGCCGCGCGCACTGGGCGAATTGCTCATGTGATTGGTGCTCCGCCACGGGTTTCATTCCTGCCGAACCCCTCGCGTGGTACTCCTCAGAATGAAGCGTACTTCACCGATTTAGGTCTGCATAACCCTACTCTTCGATCGGCAGATGAGCCAAATCAGAGGTCAATCCGTGAGCTATCGCTGGTTGCGCGGATGTTGATTTTGCATGCGCTCGCCACGGCTGGTAGGGAGGTTTACAGACACAACAGGCACTTAGCAAGTGAGGTAGGGTTTGCAATGGAGCATCCACAATACACTCAAACACCCACGGTATCAGGAGGATCATCTCTTCATTCTGTGTGGGAATCAGTGCTGTGGAAAAGGTATGCTGAAGACGCGATGATGGATGTGATCACTTTGACGTCGCGTGGGGAGGCGGGGTCAGACGAGCAAGACAAGAAAGAGGGTGGTACGATAAAGAGCGCGTGCGAGCACCGAGATACGTGGACACTGGGTACAAACGTACCGGGGTTGATTTTGCACGCTCATCAGTTCCCTCCAGATGAAGGTAAGCGCCGTCATCATGCAGCGAAGTGGACTCCATCCTTCAAGCGCGGACTATCAAGAGCGATTGGCTCCTTTAACGGGGCGCTTCGGTTGGCGCCGATGAGTGCAGCTGAGTGGTCTCAACATCAGAAGGCTGGACACGTACCTTTTCGCAAGGACTGCGCTACGTGCGTATCTGGAGCAGCGGCCTCAAGAGCTCATCGGAAACTCTCGCATCCACACGTTCACACGTTGAATGTTGATTTGATGGGTCCGTTCAAAACAAAAGGATGGGATGCTACTTGTCGTAAGAAAACTGAAGGGAATTTGAAGTATGCCCTTGTAGGATGTTATCGATTCCCCGATCCGTTAGATCCCGCTCCACCTTGGCCTGAGACGGGTACCAAAGGAGAAGAGGATGAGGTTCAGGAGGAGCGGTGTGACGAAAAAATCCCGGATCCCTTTGAGTGCGAGGAACATGAGGAAGGTCTAGAGGATTATGTCCCATCTGAAAAGGAGGATGAAGGGAAGGAAGGAGATGAGACGTTTGAGGAATTTCCTGAGATCTTCGAGAGTGAAGCACAGGATGACACTACGAAGCACAAGGCACAGGTACAGAGCCCCGAGTGGGATCTGAAGTGGGAAGGTGCAACGAAGTTGTTGCATTTCGCAGTGCCGCTGAGCAGTAGCAAAGCGTCAGGTGCGGTAGTCGCCATTCAACAGATCATTGCATATTTGAGGGGCCTAAATCTCCCAGTTTTCAGGCTTCATTCAGACAGAGGACGAGAATTTGAGAATGCTTCATTGAAGACTTTCCTAGCCCGTCATGCGATAGTGCAATCCTTTGGGGAGCCAGGTTTTCCACAGACCAACGGGGCGGTAGAAAACACGGTTAGAAGTCTGAAGGCCGCATCGCGAAAACTTCTCATCGATTCTCACCTTCCACTTAATGCTTGGCCTCAGGCGTTGGCAACCGCAGCCAC